GTTCGTCAAGGGCATGCACCTGGGGTGCGGGCACATCCCCAGTGGGGCGTGTCCAGGAGGTGGCTGATAGGTGTTTCTCTCTCATCGATGTTTCTAACTCTCTATCCCCCTCCCTTCCTCTCTGTAAAAATATCAATAAAATATATATTTTTAAAAAGTTTGATAGACTCAATTGAACCCAGTTAAACCAACAAAGTTAAAGATTCCTTTTTTTTTTTTTTTAAGATTCCTTTTTATATTAACCATGCAAGTGAAAATTTATCTCAATTTATTACACACCTCCTGGCTTTTTTAAATTAACATTTGATTTTTAGAAAGAGAGGAAGGGAGATGGATAGAGAAGGAGAAACATCAATGAGAGCCGAGACCGGTTTGGCTCAATGGATAGAGCATCAGCTTGGGGACTGAAGGGACCCAGGTTCGATTCCAGTCAAGGGCATGTACCTTGGTTGCGGGCATATCCCCGGTGGGGGGTGTGCAAGAGGCAGCTGATCAATGACTCTCTCTCATCGATGTTTCTGGCTCTCTATCTCTCTCCCTTCTTCTCTGTACAAAATCAATAAAATATATTTTTTTAAAAAGAAAAAAAAAAAAAACATCAATGAGAAACGTCAACGATCAGCTGCCTCCTGCACACCCCCTAATGGGGATGGAGCCCACAACCGAGGCATCTGCCCTGACCACGAATCAAACCAGCAACCACTTGTTTCATGGATCGTCGCTCAGCAACTGAACCACACCAGCCTGGCCTGGCTTCTTAAGCTGAAAACCTTAAATGTAATTTAACTTTCTGGATGCCTCATGGCCATTCCTGTGTCCATTACTGAGGATGCTGGGACACAGTGTCCCCTTAGGAATGACTGCGCTGGGACAGAACAGATCGCCTGGTATCCTGTGAGCACTTATAATGCTCATAATGCGGTTCCCAATCCACCCTCAAGCCCATGCCTAACGCTGAGCTATTATTTCTTGCTACTGTCAAAGTCTGTCTCTAGTAACCCATCTGCTTTTGCTCCCTCTAATCTTCTGTGAGCCATGGTACTCATAGAGATGTCATAGTCCTTTGTGCTACTCACAAGCCATTTCTGCCCCTCTGCTTCCCAAGCACATGCTCAGGCTGCAATTCGTTGTGCTTTTTAAAATATACTTTACTGATCCTTTACAGAGAGGAAGAGAGAGAGATAGAGAGTTAGAAACATCGATGAGAGAGACTCATTGATCAGCTGCCTCCTGCACACCCCCTACAGGGGATGTGCCCGCAACCAAGGTACATGCCCTTGACCGGAATCGAACCTGAGACCTTTCAGTCCGCAGGCCGATGCTCTATCCACTGAGCCAAACTGGTTTCGGCTCCTTGTGCTTTTTTAAAGTTGGGCATGGCCAGCCCTAGCCACGTCGCTCAGATGGATAGAGCATCATCCCAAGGTTGTGGATTTGATTCCTGGTCAGGGCACAACAAATCAATGTCAAATTGATGTTTCTCTTTCTTCTCTCTCCTCCTTCTCCTTCTCCTTCTCTCTCTCCCTTCCTTCCTCCCTTTCTTTTCCTCTCCCATCAATACATTAAACATAATTTAAATCTAAACTCAGGCATGGCCATGTCAGCCAATGAAATGTGAATGAAAGTGACACATGCCACTGTGGGACAGAAACTTTAAAAGCCAGTTACCCTGAGCACCATCTTACCGTCGATCAAAATTATCATGGAAATATCGTGTTAAATGGAGTTTCCATCAGCCTGGGTCCGAGTGACTGTGAGGAGCAGAGCTCCCTGTGACCTTGTGTTGGGCATGTGGACGGAAAGAGAAGTCCACTTTCATTCTGCTAAGCCGCTCAAGTCGTGAGGGTTCTTGTTCATGCAGCCTAACCCAGGCTCCAAACCAGTGCACCAGATCCCCCAGTAAGCAATTCTCTCACACAGTCACTCTGTTTACAGATTTTGTGATGAATATTTTGTTGGCACAAGGAACTCTTCTTTGCAGCCATCCTGGTTCAAAGCTATATTCAATATAAAATGTACTTGCCAAGCACCTACTATGTACAAAACACTGTGCTAGATGAGAAGACAGCCCTTGTCTTGAAAGAACTTCAGTCTGGGATTGGCCACTGTGCCAAAACGGCAGACTCCGGCCTTGTAATGGTTTCAACAAGAGACAAGTCCCATCTAGATGGGGAGAAGAGTACAGGAAGGTTTCAAAGGAAATTTCTTATCAAGTGGCCCTGAAACATGAGTGAGAACCAACAACTAGAGATTGAAGGGGTCACTGAAGATAGAAAAGGCAACATGAGCAAAGATACAGAGCACAAAGAGCAAACGGTTCCGCAGATCTGGAAAACATAATGAAACCTAAGGGAATGGCAAAAAACAAATTTACCCATACTGCCCAGGCCAGGCTTGGTCTGTGTTCAATTCAACAGACAGCAGAGCCGTTAAATCTTGGCGAGGGAAGTGAGGTATCCGAAAGCGATGGTACACAGGACGAATGGGAGGAAAGAAAAAAATGTCAGGGGGTGTCTGCAGTAATTCAACAGAATGGTAATCCAAAGGCCCAAACTCGGTGTGATGAGAGTGGGCACAGAAAGAAGCAGATGCCAGAAATAGTGCAGAGGCAGTATCACAAGACTCTGCGTCCCAGCTGGTTAGGCTCAATGGATAGCGCATCATCAGCCTATGGAAGGGTTCTGGGTTGGACTCCCGTCAAGGGCACAAACCTTGGTTGCAGGTTCTGGAGGCAACCAATCAATGTGTCTCTCTCACACTGATGTTTCTTTCTGTCTATCTCTCCCCCTCCCTTCCACTCTCTCTAAAAAAATCAGTGGAAAAATATCCTCGGTGAGGGTAGAAAAGAGACCCAGCAAACGCTGAAGCCAGGGGGAGAAAAACACCACAGCTGGAGTTAGTCAGCAAAGTAATAAGGTGCTGCTGTGCCTCTTTTCTAATGGCTGGCTGCCTGTCTTCTGACGTAACTACTACTTGTTTATCCTTTGCTCCATCTAGGAAAAGTTGCTTCTTTTAAAAAAATAATAATAAATAAATATGTGTGTGTGTGTGTGTGTGTGTGTGTGTGTGTGTTGACTTTTTACAGAGAGAAACACAGAGCTAGAAACATTGATGAGAGAGAAACATCAATCAGCTGCCTCCCGCACACCCTCCACAGGGGGTACACCCGCAACCAAGGCACATGTCCCTGACCGGAACCGAACCTGGGTCCTTTCAGTCTGCTCTATCCACTGAGCCAAACCCGCCAGGGCAGAAAAGTTGCTTTTTGACTTGAAACTATCTTACAGCTGCTTTTTCCAACAGGAAACTCCCTGGAACCACCACAAGCATTCCAGGTTCTCTCCCCTGCCGCCTTTACCATCCTGGCTTCCTCATTTCCTCACTTCTTCCCCATCATCCACCCAGGCCTTCCCACTCATGCTCAACGGAACTCCTTTTCCTGCAGTCTTATAGTGTCCGCTGCCTCAGCATTCCAGAGGCCGTATCATTAGTTACCAATTTCCAGGTGCTCTTTATTCCCACAATTTATAGGCCCATTAGAGTAAGTCTTGAGTTCCCCACACCTGTCTGTATTGCTTTGCACCCAATATATACTCAACAGACACTATGGATTATCCAAAACCAATTAGTTTCTAAGAATATGCACATCTTACTTCCTCATGTGACCTGTGAAATGGAGAGATTCATCACTAAATACTTCAAAATGTCCTTCAGTGAAGACTCTTTAATCTTAAGAGCTGCTATATTCCCTTTAGAGATTTGAAAATATCCTCTTGTCACAGATTTTTGTGCCAGCTTCCGTTTAATCCTTTGACTTGAAGGTATATCACCGGTCAGTGATCATCACTCCAGGGTGACTATGACCTAGAAATAACCACTTTCCCATGCTGATTACTTTACTTTCAGAATCCTAATAAGTGCATTTTTTCCCACCTTCCTGTTCCAATTAGCCAAAGTATATATATAGATTATGGATTTTCAGCCTTTTCATCTCATGGCACACCTAAACTAACTACTAAAATTCTGCTGCATACCAGAAAATTTTATATTTTTTTGCTGATTGGACCAAAAAAAAAATGGTGAAATTTTAATTCATTCACACCGGATAGCTATTTTTGTGTTGGCTGATGTCCTTTGTTGTTTTACAAGCTAAGGGAAAAGAGGTCAGTACCCCTGACTAGATAGTGAGTTACTGCATGTTTTAAAAATTCTTGCCGCACACGGACTGAAAATCGCTGGTGTAGATCATTCAAGGTGTATCCACAGAAAAGTGTTTTGTGTGTGTGTGTGTGTGTTAGCAAAGTAACAGCTGCCTTCCCTGGCCCCTCTCCCAATGAACTACAATGATTCCATTGCGTTTCACTCCTTCCCCATGTCAGGGGAACACCAATGTAAACAAAGTTTATTAAGGGATTATAAAAATAGCACGGTTGCAAAAAGGAATCCAAAATATTCGTGGGACACTCTCCTAACCCAACCTCATCACCGAGACATTTCCTCTTGCAAGCGTGAGCGAATAAGCAGCAGGGAGAGGAGTTGGGTGGAAAGGAAGCCAGGGAGGCGCGCTTTGCCAACCAGGCTGGCCCTGGCCCCCTACAGCAAGCACCTGGTGCCAGGAGGGCAGGGAGCGCCGGCCACCCTCCCGGTCCGCCGATGCCCGCCCAGGCTGCCCGCACTTCTCCCCGCTCCGCTCCCCGCGGCCGGGGCCGGCCTGGCCCGTCCTCCCTCCGCGCGCGGGGTCTGCGCGCAATGACCTCGGGCCGTTCGGTCTGGGTCCCGTCCTCCCGCAGGCCTGGCAGCCCCTGCCCCTGCCGGAGGGGGGGGGGGTGGAGGGGGGGGGTCATCCAGGGGTGGGTCTTCCCGCCCGAACCCCCAGGCCCAGCCGGACCTCCCCATCCCCCGGCATGAGCGCGGGGTCGGCGGGGGAGGGGAGGGGAGCGGGCGCGCGGTGACCGTTAGCTGCGGCGGCGGCGGCGGCCGGACAGCGGGACGGGCCTTACCGCAGCGGAGAGGACGGCAGCGGAGCGGCGGCGCCCGGCCGGACGCGGGCGGGAAGGCGGAGGCGGCGGCGGCGGCAGCCGCGGGGGGCCCCGGCGGGCGCCCGGGACGCGGTGGGCGGCATGGGCGCCGCCATAGTGGGGACGCAGCGCCGGGCGGAGCGCGCGGCCGCGGCCGGGGACGGCGGGACCACCAATCCCGCTCTCCGCCGCAGCGCCGGGCCGGGAGGCGGCGGCCGCGGCCAATGGGCGCGCGGAGGCAGGGTGGTGGGCAGGCGCGGGCACCAGCGGCCCAATGGCACGGGAGCCCCGGTTTCCCGGCCCGCCCAGCCCGCCCTCCGCGGGGCCGGGGGATGCGGGCGGTGCGGGGCCGCGGGGGTGCGCGTCCCGCCGGAGGGCTCCTTCCTCCGCGCCTGGCTCCACTGCCCGGAGGCGCGCGCTCTGATGCCCGCAGGGCTCCTGCCCGCCGGCGCCACCCAGCCTCTCCGAGACCTGTCCCTTCACCCGTGCGGTGGGCACAGCCGGGCGGCCACGGCGTTCCGCCCTGAAGAACGCTGCCAGGACGTTTCCCGAGGCCCATGGCTTTGGACCTCCAGGGACTGGGCGACCCTGCCCAGCCCCATCGAGTGGGGTGAGAGTGGACGGGGTTCCCAAGCTGCGCTTCAGTACCATCCATTTCAGAGCCTGGCACAAAAAAAAAAAAAAAAAAAAAAAATGTGCGGGGACAGGACCGCTCCGCCCCGTCCCGTTTAGCCTTTATAGCTCTGGAGGTCCTGGCTCTGACTCACTCCACTCCTCTCTGGCTCTGACTCACTCCACTCCTCAGCCCAGCAGGTGGAAAGAGGTTCAGTCCGGCTGCAGTCCTTGGTTGCCAACCCAAAAATCCTAAAAGGAGGGCAGTTTGCCCTGGCAAACAGGCCGGCCTCTGGGAGCCGCCTGCCTGACAGGCTGGCAGTGAGGGAGTTCCGAACTGCAGGTTGTGTATGACCAAAATAAAAGGCATGAACTTCCTAGAAAAATGGATAAGAACTCGGCTGGGATAAGATCGAGAATCCCAGCTCTGCAGGTGCTCTAAGGAAGGCGGGTCTGGAGGAGGGGACTCCGCCAAGTCTGGGGAGGTGTTCCTCTCCTCCAGAGGCTCGGCTCACCAACCCACCAAGGCCTGCCTCTGCCACCTTACCCAGTGACCCCCCGGGGAATCGGTGGGTGCTGCACAAAAACCCAACCTCCCTTTCTTGGCCCCAGGAGGGAGCTGGCATAGAATAGTGTCTTTGAAACCCACTGCTCCACCCCTCAGAATGGAGCCGAGGACACCCAGGGACCAACTGGAGCAGCTGTGCTGTGCCCAGGCTCTGCACTGCCCAGGCCCTGCACCACCACCACCACCACCACCACCACCCCCCACGCCTCCTGGCCTGCTGCTGAGCTGTCCCTGTCCACCTGGACCTCAGGGGCACACCAGGCACCGGGACCAGGTCTTCCTGCAGGGAAGCTTCTCGCCAACTAGACAGCACAGAGCAGCTTCGAGACGCCCTGGGACTCCTCTGGGGGTCAAGTCCCTTGCTCTTCTAGCACCTAAGATGTACTCCCTTTCAAGCTGGCGCCATGTTTGTATGGAACCGAGGTTCTGGGATGAACTTGACCGGCTCAATGAAACGAGCCAGAAGTGAGACCAAATTCAGCTCTACAAGCTGACTGGTGGTCTGGTCTTCCCTTTACTACCCCTCCTTCTGGTCTCTAAAGCAGGGGAAACGGCGCTCAAGGCCTGAGGTGCCTCTGCTCCCTGTCCCACCACGCTACAGCGCCAGAACTTGTCAAGGAATCTTGTCAAGATTCAGGACAGCTTCCTGGATCTTTCCACACAGTCTTCTTCATACATGGCCCCGCACAGAGGCACGCCTCTAGACTCACACCCAGCCTGACCCTGGGCCACTCCGGCTCCTTGGGGCAGACACAGCCACCCTCTGCTTACGACATTTTATTGCTAAAAGACAAGATGCACCAGTTTTCAAAATAATTTGGTTTATAGCGTTCATAAGTAACAAAAACCAGGGAAATATTATAAATCTGATTCTTGTATAGACAGAGTACAGGTGTGAAGCCCTCCAATCCTGGGCCCAGGCAAACAAATTCATGAGGAGCAAAATCCTGTTTAACCCCTTCAGTGTTGCCCCCTGTCCCACCCCTCCCCCCATATCCACTCCCTCCCATCCCCAGACCAGGGGCAAACCAGCCCCTGGCCACCAGTGGCCCCAATTCATCTCCACCCTCCCAGCTCCCACACTGATTGCAGTTTTCTGTTGAATCACCACCAGGCTCTGCCTGCTCCCATCATTCAGATCCTCCTGCATGGAATTCCCCACCCACACCCTCCAATACTGTGCCACGGGGGCTCGGTGTCTAGAGAGAGATGTGGGCACACACGTGTGTTACCCCTCTCTTCTTCAAGAGGGGGCAAAGAGGTGGCCTTAGCTCCTTGGTATCTCAACACTGCAGCTCTGCCAGCATTCCCTGGAGGCAGTTCAAGGGACAGACGCCACACTCATCTCCAGCCAACCCCAGGGACCCTTATTCAGCTCAGCTGAGGGCAGAATTTCACATTTTGTTTGCCCTGGACAGGCAAAGGAAGTAAAGGCCAGGGGCTGGCAAAAGCTGGTACAGACCACACACACACACACACACACACACACACACACGCACGCACACACACGAGCGCGCACACACGCACATAAATACAAAAGGGGGAAGGGAGGGAGGGCAAGCACCGGCACCTCTTCCTAGCGGGTGCAGGTGACCATTAGGAAACTAAGTCCTGGGCCAAGAACGGGGCAGCCAGTCCAGCGAGCACAGTCGACCCCGTTGGAGACCACGCGGCCGCAACGTTCCAGTGCTCAGCCCCTCGGCGGGCGCTCAGCGGCTGCTGCCACAGGTCCAAGAACGGCTTATCCTTTCCCTGGAGGTGGGCGGGATGAGGGTGGGGTGAGACGATGATGGGGTTGGTTCTTTCATTCCTCTGCATTTTACAACTTCATTTTAGAGACGTCAGAGTTCGAAGGGTCTGCTGTGCTGCGGAGCCTCCAGAGGGTCCTCGCCCGCCGTGGGGGCCGGGACTCTCCTGGCTCCTGGAAGCACCTACTCCATGATGGCCCGGTACAGCGCCGGCTCAATGTAATCTTCCCGGTATCTCGAGTTGATAACGCGCTGCCGTTTCTTCTCCTGTTTAACCTCCTTCTCCGTGAAAATCTCGTTGAAGCGCATGTCTGAGGCTACCGACTACAGAAGAATAGGCAAGTCAAATGAGCACTCTGTGGCCAACCACCATGAGAAGAAAAAAGACACACATCCTTGCCTTGTTCCCTTCTTCCCAGTCAGGAACCCAGGGCCCACAGAGCACACTCACCAGCCTAGACTTGACTCTCTTGGGAAGCTCTTCATCCAGCGTGTAGACATCGTCTCTCTTCACCACAAGCTGGGAGCCGTCCTCAAACTCCACCTACCGAGGAAACACAGGCTTTGCTAAGATCGCTGACTCTCTCGGGGCCACCATGCACACTGGCCAATTCCTGTAGTCGTAGGAAGAAGTCAGAACACTGAAGGACTGCCATGTTTGAAGCCGAAGCCACAGCTGGCAGACTGGACACAGGGCAGCCCCCAGCTCTGAAAGGCTTGTTCCGGACTCCCTTAGCTCTCCAAAGAGCAGAAACACATTCTGGCCCGAGAGGAAACACTGAGTTAATCAGGTACTCTCCCAACCCCCAAACCTCTGGCTACCTGGTACATCTGGATGGGGTGGGAGGCCACGAACTTGGCTCCATAGACTTGGCCGTCTGTCCACCGCACTTGAACCACTTCCCCTGCAGCAGGAGGACCCAACTGGAGACAATCCTGACTCTGAGGGAACAAGAAGAGGAAAGAGTGAGAGGATGGCCATGCAAGCACAGTGGTAACCACTGTCGACCTCAGGAAAGAGTGAGCCAGGATGAATTCCTGCTCCTGTGGAAACACTCAAGGCACTTGCTCATGCCGAGGCATGATGATGGTCTTCAGGGAAAATATTGTATGACTGAGTTGTGAGTTGAAGCAGCTGCTTTTTGCATGGAACATAAGCTTCACTTGAAAAAATGACAGAGCAATTAACTATGGTTACGTTTACAAACACATTCAGACTTGGGTATTGGCAGACATCTTGAAAATGAATGAACTGAACCTGCCACTTCAAAGAAAACAACTGACAGTATCAAGTATTGCCAATGACAAAAATTGAAGCTTTCAAACACAAATTAGGATTTCAGGAAAGTTACATCACCAACTTGAGCTTGAAGTTTCCCAAAATTTAAAGATTTTTCTGAGATTAGTTATACAAATGAATGTGAGTTTGATAGTATGTAAGAAAATTTTAACTTTGGAAAAGTCTGCACAGCCCAGTGCACCAATATGTAGAATGTTATAAAATCATGCCCAGGTGAGAAAGCCATTCCCAGATCCATTCTACAGACAGACAAATGGATTTTAAAGTAACAGGTATGCAAAGTTCACTGACCTGCTTTCAGATTCAATTATCTGAAAGGCTATTAAAATACTCCTCCCCTTTCCAATTACATTTGTCTGCAAGACAATTTTCTTCCTATATTTTAACCAAAACAATAAAATGCAACAGATTGAAGATAGGACATTTAAAGATATTTGTAAAATTATAGAAAAATGGCATTCTTCCTAATTTTTTTATTTTTTTAATAATATTTTTGTTTTAAAAGAAAGTTATTTTTACCCTCAACAATAAACTTCTAAAAAATAAATAAAAAGGGCCGGGATCGGTTTGGCTCAATGGATAGAGCGTCGGCTTGGAGGCTGAAGGGCCCCAGGTTTGATTCCGGTCAAGGGCATATACCTTGGTTGCGGGTACATCCCCAGTAAGGGGTGTGCAAGAGGCAGCTGATCGATGACTCTCTCTCATTGATGTTTCTAACTCTCTCTCTCCCTTCCTCTCTGTACAAAAATCAATAAAATATATTTTTTTAAATAATAAATAAATAGCCGAAACCGGTTTGGCTCAATGGATAGAGCGTCGGCTTGGGGACTGGAAGGTCCCGGGTTCGATTCCGGTCAAGGGCATGTACCTTGGTTGCGGGCATATCCCCAGTGGGGGATGTGCAAGAGGCAGCTGATCGATGACTCTCATCGATGATTCTTGATCCTAACTCTCTATCTCTCTCCCTTCCTCTCTGTACAAAATCAATAAA